ATCCCCCCTGTGGGGTGATTTCTCGCTTTCTGTCTCTCTGTCTCTCTCTCTCTCTCTAGTGAGTGCACGCGTCCTATAGCAAAAACCTCTTCAAAAAAAAATAAAAGAAATAGCTTGAAGCCCAGACACCAGGAAGATCAATTCTTCAACACAAAAGAGAAATACACAATAACAGAGCAGTGCAAGGTTGATCAGAAAGCCGTGGATTTAGAAATTTTACCAAAAATCAAAATTGTTTATTCCTCAGCTCTAACACTACCTGCGATTTGTGTCTCCCCTTACAAATGAAGTTTATCCTCACAAATTGGTGCCCTAATTTGCCAAGAACCTAGTTAAGTGATATTTTTAAAGTTACCCAATGAAAGTAGGAAAAAAAGAAAAATCAAAAACAATAAATTAAAAACAGAGCAGCAAAATTGATAAATCCAAGTGCTAGCTCTTTTGGGGCAAAAAAAGCTATCTGAATCACCTTAATTTTAAAATTTTAAATAAAACTAAGAATGAAAAAGGCGATTTAAAAGACATCCATAAAGTTAAGACAAAGTGGGGCCAGCAGGTGGCATAGTGGTTAAGGAGCTGGACTCCATGGCTGACTGTAGTTTAAGTCCTGAACCCAGTGGCTTGAAACTCACACTAAGTACATGTGCACGCCCAAAATTCCAAGAAAAGAATGGAGAAGGGATTGCAGCATGGCCAAACACCTTGGCAGGTGATTTCTTGCTTTCTGCCTGTCTCTTGTCTCTCCAGTGAACACATGTACCCTTGTAGCAAAAATCTCTCAGCAAAGGAAAAAAAAAAAATAGGTTAAGAAAAGGCTTGAGAAATAAGGGTTTTCTAAGGAAAATGTAAATTCCCAATTTGGCTATAAAGAAATTGGTAAAAATAACAAAGAAAAGTAAAGCTATCAAGAAGATACCTACCAAAAAGTATCTGGCCTAGGTAGTTTCAGATGAATTCTGGTGTCATTTAACAAAGACAAATCTCACGCTGCTTACAATCAATGAAAAGCCTAACAAAAAGAGCTTCACAAACTAAGGGCTATGGCCAAATATGGCCAGTAACCTGTTTTTTTATAGCTTGTGAGCTGAG